TTTTTTTTTTTTTTTTTTTTAAGAATGGGGCCCAGTGCCCAAGGCTCATATTAACATATGTGAAACAACGTAGACATTCTTTGGTATTTCAGGGTCGGCGGCGGGTATCAGGACAGCGGTCTGGCTTTGGCCATTTCTGTCATTGGATTTCTCACCCCGACACCTATTCCCTATGCTGGTTACAGGTCCCAGAAAACTCTGTTTTTTTTTCTTCCGAGTTACTCTGTTTTCTTTTTCTTCCGAGTTGTTTGTTGAGGTTTTCCCGGCCTCTCCTTTTGGTGTGCGTAATCAAATGAGCTGAGTTTTCTTGTTAAAAAAAAAAAAAAGGGCCAGTCCCTAACACCACGCGGCCCACCCCCCTCACTCAGAAAAACGAAAGGACGCCACGAGCACCGCCCGGGACAGCGGCCCTGTGTCTGGCGACACCAAAAAATCAACTTCTCATGCACCCCGGGACAGTGCAGCCGCCCCCGTGCAGTTCCGTGTGACCAGTTTTTCTGGGCCCAGCCAGGGTGTCATGCCGGGGCCGCTATTTTTTTTAGAAGAGTGAGGGGTGACGGAAGAGTGAGGGATTATTATTACTTATTATTATTATTATTATTATTATTATTATTATTATTATTATTTTTATTACTATTATTAGAGTGACGGATTATTACTATTATTACTTTATTATCGTTATTATTAGTTTTTTGATGGCCATGGTCATGACGACTCCCTCAAAAACATGGGTCCGTCTACAAACTGGCACGGTCGAGAGACGCCACATTCGAAAGATATGTGGACAGAATTCATTGCTCCATTGGCGGCTGACTGGTACACACAAATTCCACACTATCGACAGACAGACCACGACTTTGAAGCCTCCGCTTGAATAAGAAGTAGCATCCATGCAGTAGGGTGAGTGGTAAGCTGTGCAGGTATCCTCATCATCTTCATCATACGCACACCTCCATCATCAGCAAAGGGGACAAAGGGCCTCGCTCCACGACACAACACTCTTCATGCATTTGGACGCTTCTGCCATTACAAACGTTAGACTCATCAGAATGCACCTGGTCAAGAAAGCGTCCAAATGCGCATGTAGAGGTTGTGTAGTGGAGCGAGGCCCGAAGACAACTGAATGTGTGGAAGTTCCAAAATGTGACCAACAACACAAAAGAGTTGGGGCATGTGAAGTTCTGAGACAGAGAATGCCACCATAACAGACGCAGCAGCGGACAGCGTAATCCGCCCTCCATGCATCAAGGAGAAGGCCGCTTCTCTGTTTCCGGAGGTTTTGGAGAGCCATGGACGCATTGTTGGGGGTATGGGGAGCAGAGAGCAGCCGCAACGATAGCTGCAATGGTCTCTGCAATGCAATTGCTCCATTGCTTGCCGTGCTGTTGATGGCGCGGAATCGATTCTTTGGGGCTAGGCAAGTTGCTATACGAACTGTTCGAGCGTCCTGATGGGGTACTTCGTCGTGAATGTTAACCAAAAAAGAAAGAAGAGAGACAAAATGACAAGAAAGGGGAACACAGACACAACGGGCCTCACTCGACTCCACAAGGTTATAAATTTATCTGCAGCTAATAACGGTTCCGAAGGATTCCAAATGTTTTTGATGAACCAAACCAGCGGAGGTAATCTGGGGTGGTTTGGTTCGTCCGATTGGTTTTTGGTTCATCCTACATCCGATTGGTTTGGTTCAACATGGGGTTTGGGGGGTAAGTTAGCGAGGTTGGAGGATGGTAGATTAGTTCTGGCTGATTGGTACTGGGCTAAGTAGTCGCTGATGAACCTGGGCACGCGGTTCTAGATTCCACAGGAGGAAGGCAGGGGAGGTAATCCCGGGTGGAAGGAAGGAGCACTCCCAACTTTGGTTTCTCCGGTCCGGTCGGGTAGGACTGGACTGCCGCTATTAGGCAGTACTAAGTAGGTCAGTCTCCGCTCAGGTGGTTTGAATCGTTTGGGTTTTTCATGGCTTGCAGCAGTTGTTTAGTTTGGTGGTTAGTGATTTGTTGTGGTTTCGTAGGCCTGGTGCTTTCCTTTGTTTGTTACCAGGGGTCGGAATTTCAGGTCAGCGGGCCCAGTTTTAGGCCAAATCTGGTCCTAGATTTTTTTCTGACCCCCGTTGGGATTGTGTTTCAGATGGTTTCAAGAGTTTTTTAAAAGAGTAAGAAGACTGTGTCATTTCCAGCCACTTGGATGTAAGCGAAACCGGCTGATGCTGCCGGGATAACTCCGGGTTGAATTGTGAGGTTCCCGGCCTCGTTTCATTGCCTGGAATAAAGGATTGTTTTTTGGGGAAAAAAAAAAAAAAAAAGTTGGATGGGTCCGAATGGATGAGATCAGTGACCCTGTCCAGGGTACACACATAGGATGTTGTGTGGTGGAGCGAGGCCCAATGTGCACCCGATGGTCGCTCATCAATATTGTGCATTGTCACTGACCAACACCATGACGACCTTCGACCACCGCCTCCAAAGTAAAACGGACATCACATCCTCTTCACAAATAAATTGGGGGGAAACGGCAACGACAACAAAAACAGCGGGGGGGGAGGGGATGAAGCGCTACAGAGAAAAAGGGGTGGAAAGTGAAATGCCACGCCACAACCAACAATGTACAACTCACAGAAAGGAGGGATTTCATTTTCTCTACGAAGGCCCATACATGCTCGCCTCAGAATTCAATAATTATAAAATCTCAACCAAGCATACAGAGCTGATGAAAATTCCTGCAAGGCGTCTGATTATAACGCTTCAGTCGCTGTTCTGAGTCGGAAAGAAGACGTAGAAGAAAAAGGTAGGATACGAAGAGGAGGAGGAGGAAGCGCACGAGGGAGGGAGGGAGGGAGGGAGGGAAGAGGGGGGAAAGAAAGAAAATGAAAAAGGGAAAAAAAGGAAAAAAGGAGGAGGAAGAAGAAAAAAGGGAAAAGGAGGGCGAAGACGAAAGGGAGAGAAGGAGAGGAGGCAGCGGAGGTGGCAAATTTTCTCTCTGACGCAGGAAGAATTTATCGACGCTCCAAAGAATGTTTATTTCTCGTTAATGTAGAGAGGAAGAAAGAGACCGAACTGATGATCAGGAGAGGAGACGATTCTCTGCACAAGAGAGCAAAGTCGCCGAAATTATGACCTTGTCAAAAGAGATGTCAAGAACCGGGGGTGGAAGTGGAGTATGTGGAGATAGAGAGACGACATTTATTCAACACCATGTAAGTGAAGAGGGAAAAAAAAAAGCGTTGTATCTGTAGAGCTAGGAGAAGGTAAATAAATCTCCCCGCCCAAAAGCTGATCGCGGTCGCACGGTTCGACGACGCCACAGCTTGCCAGCAGAGAACACACTCAGGCTGTAATCAAAGTTCCTTAGCGATTTCTGAAGTAAAGTATTTCTTAATGGTTAATCTTGATTTGTTAGCAGACAGGACCAAAATTGGGAAACGACAACAACAACGATAATAACAAGAGCAATCAGCCCCAATATCGACAACGACAACAAATTCAACTGACCTGAATGAAAGGATGCCTGGCCTGGGCGACGATTCGTCACCGCAGGAGGCGAGGGCGAGGGATAGGCGGGCGGGGGAGGCGGAAGAGAGCGCGGAGGAACCGTCGTTAAGCCTTGGGGGTGTCTAAACCAGGAGGAGCAAGGAAGAAACCATACATCTTCTCCTCCTCCTCCTTCTTGCTGTACATACGAAGAAGCTAATCAACAATAGATCGAATCAAATGAAAGATGACGTCAGCAATCCGACTACGGGTAGCTAGCTGCCCACGTGCTCCCTGAACGTGGCTCGCTGCTGACTACGGTAGGGCACATCAGGTGTTCCTCTTCTTCTCCCTCAATCGCATGTCGTGTCAGTTACTCATGACGTGACATACCCAGCCGGAAAACCGATGGCAACTGAAAGACGACTAGCCTGGTTAACAGGGTGTCACCGAGCAGAAGCACCCCCAGTTCATCGGCAACGACCCAGGAGCACCGGGACTACGAATTTCGCATCCAGAGGAAAACCGGGCAACGAACGCATAGGATACGCGGGGGAAAAGGGCCGGGATGTTGCCTACATTTAGTCAAGCAATGTCTCTCTCTCGCATGCGAAAAACAGGGGGAACAAAAAGACCTTTATTGTACCGAACAATGACAGATTGCAGGAGAGAATAATGAACCTATGAAAGTGGAACAATCGGCGGGAAGGACGACAATGATGCTGATGATGATGCGTGGAGGCGGACGAAGAAGAGATCGGTGGAGAGGAAGGCGGGGGGGCGCACGTAAACGTAAATTACGTTTTGGCGACGAAGAGTGGAGAAAAAGTAGAACGATTAACAGGAACGTAGAAGAGTGTTAAGCGCTGAAGAGACGGTGGGAACAAGATGTCAAACGTGGGTACCGTATTCTATTCCCTTGTTAGGCCTTAATGACTCAAGTGAGAGCGCTGGACTCGAGAGGTAAGCTAGTTGGCATTTCTTTGAGACGCTCAGCGTACTAGGGTTTGAGCATGGACAGCAGCAGCGGTCGCAGAGGACGCTACGGAGAGGAAGAAGGTCAGTACAATGATCGTGCGAAGGGAGTGTGTAAATGACCGCATCTCAGGACTTCGGTAGATGATCTCTCTAGAACAAGAATAAACTAGCAACAAGAATGGGGTTAGTACAATGAAGTATAGTACAAGTAGCGCGCCGTACAAGTACGCGTTCGCACTGAGAGCTCAAACGGCCGTCGGTGGTGGCTTGGACGTCCTACCGTTGAGCATTATTCTCTCTACAAAGAAAAAGCCACGGTTTCCGTACAGATCTCACTCTCACAGATGCTGCCCTTCCTCCTCCATATCCCCACCTGCTGTTTCCCAGCCAGCCCCAGTCGGGAAAAAACTGTCAGGCACCTGCCACCCCTAGCACACTGTCGATTCCCTCGCTCCCCACGTCGGTACGCACCCAAACACAGTAGGCAGGAATTAGACCTCCCTCTCTCTCTCTCTCTCTCTCTCTCTCTCTCTCTCTCTCTCTCTCTCTCTCTCTCTCTCTCTCTCTCTCTGTGTGTCTGCCTCTGTCTCTGTTCGTGTGTTGCCGCTCCTTTCCCATTCACCTTCTCTCACTTCCACCTTAAAGAATCTCTTACACTTCCACGTTCGTGTCCTCAAAATTTACCCACTGTGTTGGCCTCATCTCGCACGCGCACTTACACACACGTGCACACGCCCACACGCACGCACGCATGCACACACACGAACGCGTACAAGTACAGCACGCACGGATGCACACACACGAACGTCTACAAGTACAGCACGCACGGATGCACACACACGAACGTCTACAAGTACACGCACACGCAAGTGCGCAATCATAGAAACATACGCACACACATACACACACACGCAGGCAGACGCATGCGGGCGCAAAGAAGCGCGCACACATATCCTTGTACGCACAGAGACCCACCCACACAAACGTTCCCCCGCAGGCGCACGCAAGAACAGATTCGTAGTAGCATGCAGGCAGAAAAGCACGATCTTCAACATAAATCACCTACCCAGTATTCATGCTGGCATCCACCGCTAACTACGTCCATTCTCTCCCACATATCCTCGTGGATTGCCCCACTGCGTTCCTCCTTCCACCCTCCTCCTCCCGACAGCTATCAGCTATTAGTCTCCTCTTACCGCCCTTTCTCGCAGGACGTGAGAGACCTGGCATCCCTTCTCCCATCCGTGAGAGACCTGGCATCCCTTCACTTCATGCGGCAGCTCCAAAAGTGTTCGCATTACCACACACAGACCGTTCCCGGTAAAGTCGGCGCCTCTCTCTCTCTCTCTCTCTCTCTCTCTCTCTCTCTCTCTCTCTCTCTCTCTCTCTCTCCCCGCACACACACTCTGTGTGTCTGTAGCATTGTAGGTATGCCCTGTGTGGATGTGCCTTCTTTCTCGCTCCGTTTACCCATCATCCTTGTGGTGGCGTGGGTAAACACTTCCATCATGAGAAGTGTGAGATAGCCTTCGGGTGAGGCGGGTCATTCCCACCGGTGCGTGTCCGTTCTTCCCACCAGCATTGCACAGCCAATCGTCTGACCAGAAGACGTAGACCCAGTGAATCGCGCGGGGTGGAGCAGAGGATAGGAGACCCAAGATCCTCTGTACAACAGCAAATACACGAAAGGCAGAACGGCCGGCACCGGCTGCTGTACACCACGGTCGGCCTTCCCCCCTTCCGCCCCCTCCCCACGCTACACCCATCGCCACCCCCATCGCTGTTCTCTATCAGCCACCTGTCTGCTCCGCCCCACCTCAGCCCCCCCATTGAAGGAACTCGTGAGAGAACCAAATTCGAAAACAAAGCGAGAATCTGGTCATTTGTCAAGTGCCGCATCATCAGCAGCAGCGTTCAAGCGCAGACGACAGCTCCGCAATTACGGACTGCAAGCTGGGGCGGTTCGCCGCATAGGGCTCGCAACACATAACGGCTATTTCCGCCACCCTCCCCACAGAATCGTAGTTGAAGGAGCTTGAAGCTATTCTGCCGTCAAGGATACGCGTGAAATTGTCGCTCTGCAGCACGTCGCGCGCCCAAGTGATAATGTTTCCCTGCCCGTCCGGTCGTGAAGCCGTCCTCTCGCACGCTCGTCTTCCCGAGAGGATCTCCAGAATCAAGATCCCAAGTCCGTACACGTCGGTACCTCGATCCACCCTTCCCGTGCTCGCGTAATCAGGGGCCAAGTACTCCGTGTCGTGAAGACTGCGGAACAGCACCCCCAGCTCACACCCTTCTTGCGCCAGCAGCGGAAAGCCGTAATCCACCAGCTTGAAATTATTGTTCTCGTCCATCAGCACATTACCTGCCTTCAGCGCCCCATGCACGATTCCATAAGGTCCTGCTGCTTGCAATTGGTGCAAACATTTCACCGCTTTCGCTACAGACAGGGCGACTTCCAGGCGTGACGACCAGGTCACTGTGCCCCCGAGACCACCGCTGCTCGTCCGCTTCTTCTCCTTCCTCTCACGAATCCAACTACTAACGCCGCCATTGTTCTCTCCGCCATTTCCACCGCCGCCACCGCCACCACTACCCCCATTGCCATCGCCGCGGCCCATGCTACCGCCGTCATTGCTATTCGCACCGATGCGACCTCCGCCGATACCGCAATCACCCGCATTCTCGCCGCCGTTGCCGTCGCCGATACACCAATCACCCGCATTCTCGCCGCCGTTGCCGTCGCCCCCAGTACTCCCATCGCCGGCATTCCCGCCGCCGCCGCCGCCGCCACTGCCCCATTCCTTGCAATTGCTTTTCGCAGCCCCACAGTCCCGCCCTAGATAATCGCCTAAGTTACCGTTCGGAACATACTCGTAGACGAGCATCCTCTCGCTCTCCTCCACGCAACAGCCCCACAGCTTCACAAGGCAAGAATCGTTTCCCATCCCCAGAGTCTCCACCTGCTTTATGAAAGCTCTGCCATTTCTCAATCCGTCGCGGAATGTCAACCTCTTGACGGCAATCTGTGACCCGTCCGGCAGAACACCCTTGTACGTGTTGCCGAATCGACCTTTACCAAGGAGGTTGGTGGAGTCAAAGAACCCCGTCGCCAGCTTCAGCTGATCTAGTGTGAAAAGTAGACAGGCAACCTCCTCGGAAAGCGAGCCGTCGCTCATCTGTGGCTCCGGGGAGTGAGGAATTTCCCCTGGAGACCCAACAACAGACGCTCCTCCCCCTCCACGCGCGGCCGCGAACACTCCGCTGTAGCGGTGCTTCTCCTTGTAGACGGTCCCGCTCCTATTCCAATGTTGACGCTGACGATCGTGATGATGATGAGAATGATTACCGCTAGGGCCCACTTCTCTCCCGCCAACGGCCCTGGGATGAATGGCCGCAGGACGTGACGTCGGCGATGCCGACATCGATGCATTAGGGCTCTTCCACAGTTCGTTGGGGTTGATTGGCGAGGGGGATCGGGAGTGTTGCCGATGGGCACGTGGCGTGCGACGAGCGCTTGCCGATAACGGTGGAGAAGACGTAGAAATGGGGCTCGAGAGAGCAGAAGCCGGCCCTCCCCGACTGGCGACGACGGCGGCAGTGGGGTTTGCAATGGGGGCAGAGGAGCTGATGATAGGAGGGCAAGAAGAAGCAGCGGCTACAGCCTCACTGCTAGTAGCGAACGACCTTCTTGTTCTCCTACGCTGCTGCACGTAGCAGAACGTCAGGAAACCGACGATACCCGCCAAGAACAGGATGCAGCCGAGGGTGACGCCTGCGACCAGCGCCCGAGATACTCTGCCGCCGCCGCCGCCGCCCTTTGTTCCCGCGTTCGCCTCTTCCATGACCGGCCCCCGGCCCACTGTTCCTCCTACTTCTTCCCCCGCCCCGCCAGTTCCCCCACTGGCATACGGACGCTGAGTGATTCCTTCGGGCCTGGTCGCGTCCACGTCCCCGTTCTTACCGGGCAACGACTGGTTGTTGACTTTCAGAGGACAACCGTACTCGTCGGAGCCATCTCCGCAGTCATCCTTCCCATCGCATCGCAGGGTCGAGCGCACACACATTCGGTTGGTGCAAAGAAACCCGCCGCCTTGACAGGACGGACATCCCCGTTCGTCTGACCCATCCCTGCAATCGTTTTTGCCATCGCAGCGCCTCGATGGCACGATGCAAAATAACTCCTCCACGCAGTAGAACGCCCCCTCGTAACATCCCGCACACTGCAGCTCATCGGAGTTGTCCCCGCATTCGTCGTTGCCGTTACAGCGCAGTCGGAAGTAGATGCAGTTGCCATTATGGCAAGAATAATACGCCGACGGGCAATTGCCTCCGCTACCCTGTGGCTGCGGCTGTGCGCCTCCTGCATCAACTGGAGGTGACGATGACGGCAGGAACATGGCCGGCGGCGATGGCAATGGGGGGGAGAAGGAGCTGGAGCTGGACGGGATGATGGTTGGCGGCATGCCGAATACCTCGGCTCGCAGTTCCAATGCGAGCTGAAAGAACGAAACTAGCAGGAGTGCTCTGAGGCCCAACCATGCGCGCCAGGAGGGTGGAGAGCCAGCAAGAAGAAGGAGAACAGAGATCTTCTTCTTCCTCTTCCGCCGCCGACTTGACGGGAAAACAGCGGGCGAGAACGAAGGAGCAATGCCGCCGCCCTCGTCCCCTGCATTACTGTCTCCTCCCTCGGACCCCATCGCTCCCCCGCCTCCTCCTCCATCTTTCCCTCTCCTCCATCGACGAGGGACCAATACCGTCCCCGCTCCAGGAGAGGTGCGCAGGCGCTCGTGTGAGGATGACGGCGATGGTGAGGACGACGGAGCCTTCGCCGACGACAAGAGAAACAAGAGTGGCAGCAGCAGGGAGTGCACCATGCCGTCTCAGTCCCTCCTGCTGTACAGACAACTCTCGATGCAATCTCGTCCTCGACGAGCAAAGCAGTCCTGCAGTACTCGATCCCTCTCTTCCAACATAATCACTGTCTTTTCGCCCCACTTTCTCACCCACCTTCAGCAATAATAATACAACGAAGTACAACAGATACCCCGCTTGCATTTCGTATCGGCCGAGTCCCTCGACAATCACCAATCATCCCATAAACATCGCGGCCAGGAAACGGAACCAACCGCACGCTCAAATTCTCCACTCTCCCGCCCTACGTCTGTAGCTATCTACCTGTCTCCCTGGAGCACACTGCAAGAAACAGCCCCCTCCCTGCAGGACCTCCCAAACCCGAATGCCGCCCCAACATGACGTCGCCTGCTTGTCAGACAATACTTTTTTGTCACGCAACAATAGAAATTGCCGATACAATCGGCGAAATGTGTCGTGATGGATACAGAGTTGGCCTCGTATTTCTCAATTGACCCGCCGCCAACGCGCCGTCATTCAGTTTGACAGCTGCCATTCTGCCTTGACCAGCTCGGCGCGTGACCGACCACATCCGCACAAGCTACTCAACTTCAATCAGCGAGCGACTGGATTTCGCCGAGTGTGATGGAGGAGTGGAAGGGGAGGATAGATAGATCGTTTGCTGAGCTAACCCGTCGCATAAGGATAGAGCGAGCGTCGGGCTGTCGTAGTGGCAGCGGCGCACGTAATCCCCGAGAGACAACCAGGCCGCAGCACATCCATCGCGGGGCATCACCAGTCGTCGTAGTATCAACCGCCGACATCCACTGCCATCCCTATAACAATGTTGGGTTGTTGGTTACGTGTAAGAGCTCGTCAAGAAGATTGTACGACACAGGACGACAGAAGATGGTGATGCAGAGGTGGGGGAGAGATGTAACGCGGGGGTAGAGATTAGCAGACAAATAGGCAAAAATGCAGGGAGCGGGTGGCGATGACGGCACACCAAAGGCCGACCATCGACGCCAGACGAGGCCTTTGCCCCGCCCCCACCCAGGCGAACATCGTCAATTGACTGCCGGGGCGCTACGTATGGCGACGGCGATGACAACAGCGCTCGCCAGCTGTGGCTCAGCGAGGCGCGGCTCAAGCCGGGTAACAAGTGAAATCGCAACAGCTACGACGGAGGCACATCCACGCTAAAACAATATGGATATGGAGGAGGCAAGGCACATGGAGACGATCTTGTCTGACCTGTTCAATCGCCTGCTTCTACTGCGAATCACACCCCTCGGGCCCGACTATCTCTTCCCCCGAGAACGACATTATGCCCTCTCCCGCGCCCCCCGCCCCATTCCCTCCCTGTCTCTTATACACATCTAGA